ACGAGACACTTCACTCCCCCGTCTACCTCAATAATCGGCAACCAGCATGGCTTACCTCTAATATTGTTGCAGGTTGCTGTGCGGTCGCCTCTCTGCTGACACCCTTCTCAGATGCCACCTCGCTTCCTCCTTACCGCCGTCGCTCGTCGTTGCTCGCTCCGTTGGCTGCTCCTGCCTCCTTCGCCTCCACTGCTGGCTGGCTCGTCAGTCTCCGTTCCCGACGTCCCCGACTCCTCGGTTGCCTCTTCCGAAGATCCGTCTCTCTGCTGCATCCTAGCTCGTTTTTTCAACTTTTGAGCGTTCACCTCCATTGGCTCGTCTAGAGGTCTCTCTCTCCTGCGAAACATGTACGGGCACTGTCTGGCAATATGCCCTTCCGTCCCGCACTCGAAACATCTAGTGCGCGGACATTGTGCTACCAAATGTCCCGGTTTCCCGCACCCGTGACATTTTCTGTCTTCCCTCCGGGGTCCATTCCTAGGCCTGGACTGTCCGGATCTTCTCTCGCCCGTCGTGGCTTTTTCTCCGTTCGGGTGTTTCATTTCCCTCTTCCTCCACCCGATCTGGGCTGTCCGGGGTCGTCTGTCACTCACCCGGGTCCACCCTGGTTCTTCTACTTCCATCCGCGTCTCTTCCTCTCTTGCACTCAGATCTATCATTTCTTGGGCACACTCGAGGAACGATCGCTCTCTAGGCAGTCCGTCCCTTCTCCCAGTCTCCTTAGCCAACTGAACCTTGAGTATTGTCGAAAGGAATTCCATCCTAGCTTCGACCTCTCCCACACTCATGGTTTCCCGCATTTTCTCAGTTATGCGGTTGTACTTCGCCACTAGTACCCCCGCATACTGTCCTCTTGATTGGCGTTGGGACCGACACTCCCTAAACATTTGGAAGATATCTTCTTCCGGCGTCCATCGGCCCCCTCCGAAAGCCTTCTTCAAACGCTCCTTAATCACTGGCCATGGTGTCTCCTCGTCCGCTTGGATTTGGTTGAGGATGTTCCTCCTCACTCGGCACACGAGAGCTGCCTTCAGTGCTTCTGCGTCTCCCAGGTTCACGAGGTCCTCCGCCACCTTTGCTTCGATTCTTGATATGAGGCGGTCTCCACCTTTCAGGAAGTGATTAAGTTCACCTATCTCGCCCCCGAATCGCTCCAGGTCTGCGATTGCTCTCCGTAGATCCTGCGTGGTCGCTGCCCTTATCTTCATCCACTCCAATGCATTGGCGTGCGCCTCTGCCAATGTGTCCCTAGGTAAGGGAGGGATCTCTTGTATCTGCGGTACTTGAGGTATCTGAGGTATCTGCGGAATCTGCGGAACCTGAGGGGCGATCTGAGGAATCTGCGCTATCGGCATTTCCTGAGGTTGCGGCATTTCAGGTGCGTTCAACACTCCTGGTCGAATTATGCCCTCTGTCGGCATCTCGTCTTTTCCTTATGACTAGGAGAAGAGAAAAAAAAATTAAAATAAAGAAAGGAAAAAAAAAATTTTACTTCCGTGTTCTCCTGACGTTCTCCCGGGTTTCGGCACCAGTTAAGCGTCTCCGGGCTTTGTAAATAAAAAAAAAGAAGGAAAGAGGAACGAGAAACAATACTCACGGCTTCTGAATTAACACTGCTTTATTCGTTCAATAATCTGCCTTATATACAATTGCTATGTTTATTTACATTACAAGATGGTATTAAGGCTGATATCGCCAGTCTCCGGTCTTTATCTTATATATATATATATATATATATATATATATATATATTATATATATATATATATATATATATATATATTATATATATATCTTCATATCGGCAAGCTCTACAACCTGAAAATCAGAAGAAACTACTTCTGAAAAATATAATTACTACAGAAATATTTAAACAATACAATCTTCATGCACGTACTCACAATGTAAATCAGAAGTGACCTATGCAGCTGTAACAACACGTTGTTTAAAGAAACATCATAACAACATACACACATCTAAAAAATCAAATAAATAATATATATATATATATATATATATATATATATATATATATATATATATATATATATATATATATATATATAAATTGAAGTAATTGCTTCTGATTTTCAGGCTGCAGGACATATCGATATCCTATAAGGCGATATGAAGTCCTTGATGGATGCAAGCTCAAACAATTTTCTAAAATGTGTACCGTTGTTAAAGCTGTATCATCATTTTTAACACAAGTATATATATATATATATATATATATATATATATATATATATATATATATTTAGAGATAATTTTATATTTTTCTTCATAAGGCCTAGTTATTTAGAAATTTTATAGCTCCTATAAAATTTAGTTCATTTATGAAATTCGATTATTCTAGAAGCTAGAATAATCGAATTTTATAGAAATGTCACACACATTTTTATAAAAATATGACGACAGAAGGGACCTGCTACCAAGTGAGAACCAGTCGGCCGCCCTAGGTCAGGAGCTTGTGGATCAACCAGGTTGCGTAAGATGATGGTATGCGCCGTTCTCTCAGAGCCGGCATCTCTAGGTTATTTTTGGACATTCTGTAATGAATATTATTCCGTTCCTTTCAATTAACGAATTTGAAATATCAATTATGATAAAGGATAAAGATTAATACTATTTAAAATCAGCATTGGGAACTCTCAATAACATTTATCAGTTTGTAAGAGGATTTTGCAGAGTACTCATCATTATGCCTTCCATTTAAACTAATGATGAATATGCCGATATGGTGTTTGTATACGGTTTTTGCAATGCTAATGCTGCCCGTCGTGAATATGCTAGGCGATTTTCGAATAGAAAATTATCAAACAAGTCTATATTTAGCTTCACGATAATGGCTAAATGTTAATTATCCCAATCAATGGATTGGACGTGCAGGGCCAGTGGTTTGACGTATAGGCTCTCCAGACATGACACCACTGGATGTTTTTGCTTGGGTTGGCATTAAACAAGAAGTCTATGTCCGGTCAACAACACATATCAGTAACAATAACACATATCCAGTTCCGTTTTGCCACTGCTGCTGTTGGAGAAAGATGCCGAGCTTGTCTTCATGCTCAAGGAAATCACTCTGAATAACATTTAATATGAATTTCATGTTTACGCTTAATTAGTACAGTATTTGGAACAAATAAATAAGTTTTATTTACTTATTATAAGGTAAATAATTCATAACAATGAAAATCTAATAATTTTTTTTCCCTAGTATGGAAGTAATTTAAATATTCTGGAAAAGGATGACTATTTAGCTTAATATTTTCCTCCACCTCAATTTTATGTAGGTTAAAACACAGTATTTTGGAGAGCGGCAGTAACCTAAGTAACGCCATAGATTTCTTGATTAAAAAAGAAAGAAGAAAGAAAAGGAAATTTTAATCTGGGACATTTGGATCCTCTAAATATAATTATAACAAACAATGAAGTGACATTTGTCTGGCATAAGAAGACAATCAAGAATTTATAAAATTTCACAGATATCGAACTATAAAATTATGGGAAAGCACATGTAAACATATAAAATTATAGATTGTTCAAGAGTGTTTTCACATATTTGTAATAATAAGCAATATATATATAAAATATAGGCATCTGTAAGATAACAGTAAAATGACTCTGACAGCTCTAAAGCACAAAAATATTATTCTTAAATATATTCGGAAGATTGGTTGCTGAGGAGATGGAAAATAAATGGTGTTTAAATGAGGTTCAGGATGAGTATTTGCGTACGGAGGTAGGTAGGGTATTCAAAAATAAGGTAACACGAATAAGAATGAAATTTTTAAAAGAAAACAGTTCTATGAACAGGAATAAACAGATTTCTGGACTGGGATCTGGTGTTGAATGAATGGACGGAGGAACAAGGAGTAAACTTACGAAGAAGGCAAGAATGTTTTTTTTGCTTATGAAGATTCCGAAAAGGAAAAGACCTAGGAAATATTGATATCTTCTGTATAGGAAAACTGGATAGAGCCACGTCAACTAGGCAAAGCAACTGGAAACGCGGGAGTGCCTGGGGACTCCAAAGACGAATCAAATGAAACAATTCATTAATCTTTTCAATTTGATGACAGTCCACAGTAAACAAGGCAGCCGCAATGGAAGTGAGAAAAATGAGAGAGTAAACTAGGAGCTGACGAGTTTTAAGGGGCATAGAATCATGGAATCTCAGGAACTCTTTGAGGATAGGAATAGATTTTCGGGTAATGTGATACAATCTATTATTATATAATAACATATTACACAATAATATATATATATATATATATATATATATATATATATATAAAGTCCCCTCAACACTTATTAACGAACATTCGTAACGTAACGAAATTTAGCCAGTTTCCTTTTGACATTTACTGGCAAGGATCCCTGTTGTGCAAACCGCCCCGAAATATCGGCATTCCGGCCTTAATTCTTATCTTAGCCAGTAGCCGTTAAGCGAGTTTGGGCCGCTAGTGGCCTCGGGATATAGGCAATGACCAACCTACAAAACAACATGATGAAGTGTGTTACTTGCTGTAAGATATTCAAACAGACACATCTCATTTTTCCCGTCATCAATTTTTCTATTGTTATTTGTACCGTAGAAACTTACAACTAGCGGACCCCTGGCCTGAGGAAACACGGCATAGTCTAAGAGGCGAGGAAGGGGTAAACGAATGTTGTTGTAGGTATATAATTGGAGATATACCCGTTCCTATTCCTTATAAACCATTCAGATTTTTACCATATAAGATGATTTGAAAAAAAAGTAATTATCTTTTTGAGTTTGATTCAGCAAACCATTTTATAAATCTCTATCGCCCTAAGTAAATGTTAATTATACTATTAAAAATAATTTTCTTCAAACATTGAAATAGGTATAGAGAAATAATAGGCACAATTAGACTTTTAAAAATAAGTTTATAATGAGTGTGAATAAATAATTTGATACAAAAGTGTCGAAAATGGAGCATGAATGATGATGAAGATGAAGATTATGATGATCAATGGAAGCCATGGTAGCCGTGGAGGAGCGAGCCGTGGCTGAGGGAGATCGGCTCAGCGATCACTGGAGCGTGGACAGCCACTGGAGCGGCCACTGTCCTCACTACTGGAACGGAATTGTGGACCACTCGCACTGTATTAGCGTAAGATGAGGCGTGGGTGGCCACCAAGGGGGTGTGCACTGCCACGGGGGCCGCCACCAGAGGGTGGTGTCCGATCGCTAGGGCGGGGCCATGGGCCAGAGGGGCGCCGATGATCCCTGCGCTGACAGCGGCGAACAGCAGAGGAAGGACTACCTGCAACAAGTGAAATGGTCCAACAATAAATCATACTGATTTATCAGTTATAAATTAAATACATATCATATATTAATAATTTGTTTTAAACAGTAATAATTGAAAAAAAAAACTCCATATTAAAAAAGAGCCAGTTTCTTTAGAAGAAGCTGATCCATGGCTGTATGAAGGTCTTGAGAAATTTTGATGGGGGCAGACTGAGTGGAATAGCCAGGCCGGAAACCGGACTGGTTGAGATTTAGGAGGTTGTTCTTAAATTAAAACCCAGTTAAAAAGTCGAATAACTGGGTTTGAATTAGTCGCTCTGAAGGTTTGGAAAGGTTTGAGAGGAGAGCAATTGGACGGAACTCATTAAGGGTTGGTGAGTTGGAACTCTTCTTCATATTACGAACTAGTGCGGTTTTCCAAGATTTAGGGAAGGTAGTGTTTTGTAGTGAGTAATTATAGGTATGGTAGAGGATTGTAATTATGGTTGTTAGTGAGGCTTTGATCAATAAAACTGGAATGTTATCGGGCCCATGATCATTGGTATGTGATTTCTGAATGGAGTTGAGGAGGTCATCAGGGGTAATATGGCGAAAAAAAGTGAACAGGATTAAAATTAAAATGAGAATACATAGGAGTCGGTGTGGCATCATGCCCTTAGAAACAGTCGCCGCAGCTGCCTACTTTGTAATCGCTTTGAATCATAAAAGGAAAATTCATTGCGTAAAATGTGAGAAATTTTTTATTTTTTTAACTTGTAAATTAGGGTTCATACATTTTAAAATAGGATAATGAGGTATACAAAAAATTTTTCATGAAGAAATAACGAATTCGAAAAATATAATTGATCTGTATTAAAACTTAGTACTCAGTGGAAGTGGAATTTGATGTTCTATAACTTTAATTCTATAAGTTTTTTCCATTTGAGAACTCATTCCCAAGCTGTAGCGCCATTTACAGTAAATTGTCTGTTTAACATAGCACTTAACCAAATTACTAAGTTTAGGTTCTCGTTCGACGCACAATTTAACTTTATTGAATTTATGAAAGAAAAGGTTTTTCGCTTTGTTGCACCGTTTAGGAACTATAAGTAAAAAAACAAAAAAAGGTCGAAATAATCTGGCTTTTTTTGCTATGGAAAGTTTTTAGTGGCCCGCGTCAGCAATTTTGTTTTTTACGCGTGTCAACCAATATAATACACGTTAAAAAAATAAGTTACAATACGACATTTAACATACAAGTTAAAATATAATGTTTCTCACATTTTTCACAATGAATTTCCCGTTTTGATCCTCAAGTAACTAACCCAATATTCATTAATACAGTCGCCATTTTTAGTGGGAGTAAAATCCGACCGGAAAAACTCTCATTTTTTAAATAAAGATGTTATAAATATTAAAAAAATGCTTTTTAAGTTTTCATCAAATAATATTGATTTTTTCTCCTGAGCTCTCAGACTATTAGGTTGCTCGCAATTGTAGTTTGTGTCATCACTATATATATATATATATCCCTCCTTAAAATTAAGACAAATTTGGACAAAATTAGATTTTTAATTTGAGTGAAGGAGCGGTGTAGCTCAGTAAGTAAAACAATGATTTCCTATGTTCAGAATTTCTAATTCTAGTAAGACTGAGGCAGGTAATTAATTATTCGTACTGTTACATTTGCCTAGTTCGATCCTAACATCGGAGGACCCTACAGGGAACAGTCAGCCTAGTTAAAGTGGTTACTCTTAATTAAATAATTTGACTGAAGGAAAAAGCCTGGCGAATGCGATAACGGAATAAGCATCTATCTACTTCCACTACCGTTGGCCTTGAAACTGTACTTTTTTACTAAGTATTGAAACGAAGAAACTCATTTGAAGATGGGTTGTAGTAGTAAAGGTTTTTTATTTTTATTGTTTCGATATAGATGGAAGCATTCCATTGTGATCAAGAAGGTGGCAATTGGTTCATGGCAACGCTCTCAGTTTTGGGCACTCTAATTTTGGTTACCATCCAGATGTTAGTTCACGATCTTAATTTTTGAAAATCCTTCTCGAAAAAAAGGATTGGTTCTCCAATCTTATTTTTTGTGCAAATTAATACTTAAGATTACAGTTATTAAAGTTTTAAAAAGTTCGCACTTAATAATTGTTTATATTTGTTGTTACTAGTCGGAATAGGTAAAAAGGATAAGATCACGTGTTACTTGGATTTCATTTCGTATGCCTATTAATATATATCAAAAGTAATAAGAACATCCTCATAACAAGAGCATCTTGCGTCCCCTAACATTTATATTGGTGTATTTCATACTCCCAATGACTCATAAACTCAAAAGAAATATGACTATGCCGGAGTAAAGATGTAAACATATCTCGTCTCTGAATCTTGAATTTTGATATTGTCCTTTGTAACTCCATCGAGTTCCTCAAACGACTAAAATAGAACATACCTTAATGAGGGATATAAAGGAATTGAAGGCGATGATATAGCAGTCGCTAAAAAAAAAAATGGAATACAATCAGTGAAATTAGTTCATAGGCACTGAGTACTTTTAATAACATATGATGATTAAGAAAAACATTGTACTGGAGGACTAAAAAAAAATAATCAGTTTTTTTAGTTTTCGGAAGTCTCGAATATAAAATAAAATAATAGCAACTCTTCATCAAATTGTTAATAAACAACACAGCCTAAGCCTGACGAGAAACCAGTTGTGAATAATAACTGTTCTCCAGCGGGTCAATGCTCGAATAAAAATATTATCTCAAGAACATATTAATAGAGGATCCGATCAGCCATCTCTTACTAAAATATATACATACTTGTGTGTGTCTGTCTGTCTGTGAGCGACCGCGTGTGTGATCCAGAATGTGATGCTTTCCTGAGGTTTAGTCTCCATTGATGGTCTATTTCAGAGAACGGAACAATTATCCTCGTGCGCCTGCTGAATAGGAGCAGCCCTAATCCATAAATCTAGACTGATAGATTTCCCATTATTCTTCAATCCAAGTGAGTTGGTGGAAAGAAAACTGTCAGATTGAAAGCAAAAGAATGTTACGGAGGAATGGGCGACCTACCGCTGCACCGTAGAGGTCATGGTCCGTAGCAACGTTAGGTTGGGTGACCCTTTTACTTTGAAAATATTAGTGCTCCCGCAAGCACTACACATCTGTGAAAAGATCTCACCTCGCGGCCAAAAATCTACATGGTCTTAGAGCCAAAAATTCACGACACTACAAGTTAAGTAGAAATCACATACATAAGGTGTATACTAACAAAAAGTATAAATTCCATTCTAATTTTTTTAGAACTCTATTTTTGAAAAGTTTATAAAGTGGCTAAAATCAATATTTCTTAAAAAATGAATTTTCATCTCAAAGACAAAGAGGACAATAAAAAATTTGTTTTTCATTGCTTTCTGTAACTATTTTTAAGCGTTAAATTCTCTATCCTTTATCGATGAATGTTCAGAAAAATAATACTTCAGATCCGAAAAGATCATTAAAAAAAAAAGAAATAGTATTGGCATAATGTTAGACAGCCAATATTCAATACAATTATTTTATTTATTAAACCATAACTTAAATGTTTTCGTTTAACTATTAAAAACAAATATTTTTCCTTATATCTAGCTACAGTATTATAATTTTTTCTGGAATAGAGATTGAGAATAACTTTCTCCACAAAGCGGAAATCAAATTATTTATTTAAAAATCATTATGTTCATTTATCAATATAATTATTGTCCCTGTGACAGAATATTGTATGTCTAAATAAATAAATAAATAAAAATAAAAAAAAATCAAATATCCATCTCTCAAAAGCGAAAAAAAATGGATTATATTCTGAAATTATTCATAAAGATTTCTCTTGCTCCTAACTATAAAACCAATTGTAATCAAGCTTTAATGGACCGTTTATCTTAAAGTCAGGCAAGGAACGCAAACGTTTTCAAGAACATCTCTTCCCTATTGTGGCTAATGTGTGCAAGGTCTGAATCACCTCCATTCAACATGTCAGTCTCATGAATGACATTGAACCCACATTTAATACAAATGTTTTGTGAAGGAAACTATTGAAACTTCATTCAGACTCAGTGTCAGTTCCCAACAGATTGGCATCAAACGAGGATCTGTCGCAATCGAGGAAACTTAAAACAAACAAAATCCGTTATGAAACAAAACAAACATATTCCCAGGATTAAAACATAAAGCTTAGCGGCGGGGGAGGGAAGCTGCAATCCTTGATAGAGATTGCAGGACCTTCTCAAAACAATACTTAGTCGGGAAATTTCCCGTTACCATCTTAGTTTGTGGGAATGTTATAATAGGCCGTTGACTAGGTCGGTTTCTGTTCTCAGCTTTTTCTTGTTGAATTTCTAAATTATAAATTTCGTAACTTGATTTTACCTCCAGATTTAGAAAGTGTATTAATAACTAAAAATAAATAAATAATAATAATAACAATAAGCTAGTAAATTATAGAATTCCATAATTGAAAAAAAAAAAAGTTTCATAGATATAATGGTTTTTTAAAAATATGGAACTGAAATTTTCAAACAGGTAAGAGGCATTCTATTCGCCATTTTTTATATTCCACATCAAGCTATGTACACAAAGCCGATTGGAATCAGTTTCTAAAAATGTGTTGTTAAGCAAACCCAATTTCAGTTGAGTTGTGGAAGAGAAGGGATGTTTTTTTAATATTTACAAATATTTCAGTAACGCGTTCTAATTTCAAAATTATCCTTGAAGAAATGACACCCAAGGAGGAAATACTAAAAATTAATTAACTAATGAATCCTTTCTATCTGTCTAAACATTCAAATGGCTGATAGATAAACATGAAACCAATATAAATATATTTTAAAAACAAAAACAATAAATCAAAGGAAAAATGAACATACAAATATATTATAAACAAAATATTAAATATAAAAATAACAGGAACATAAAACAGAATTATTGCATACATTTTAGAAATGTTTGAAGGAGGAATAAGTAACATTTAATGGCGATTACAGTTTCAAAAATAATGCTTAATCATCTTGTTCTAATTTATCATTTAGCCAAGACATTAACTTCCTATAGTGTACTTAAGATCTAAATTATTTTCTACAGTATATTTATGGTTGTAATTAGATTTGAGACATACTGTAGAAAATAATTTAGAACTTATGTTTAAAAATTACATTTTACACGTCAGAAAAGAAAAAATACAAACAACACGTTTACTGCATTTCACATCGATTCGAAGATTTTCCTAGGAGATTCTGACATTGAGGAATGTCTATAACTGAGAGCTCAGGGAAGACAAAACCCATCGAAGAGTATAAAAAAAAAAGAAAGAAAGAAATTTAAAAAAAAATAAACTCCTGTATGTTTTTAGTAATATATTTAACCAAATAATTGAGTAAGCATCATAAGTTCAATTTTATCAAACACTTGATAGTGCGCACATAACAAAAAATAAAAAAACATTGGATGTTTTTAATTAAATAAATATGGATCTAAGAATATCAATAAATCATTAAATAACATGACTGATATAAAGAATCGAAACATTATTTATTCATGTTTTATAAACTCAACACAGTCAGTAATAACATATAGTGTCGCTAACGGTCTGAGAGCAACACACAATCTGCATATGTCTGTATGTGGAAAGCATGGCTCAAATTTATTTTTGGCTATTTGAAATAATTAAAGCTTTCTCATTGCCATTACTAATGCAAATGGATTAACATGAACAATGAAAGAATTTAATAATTAACTATAAAAGGAAATGGGAGAAATGTTTCGCAGATTGTATATAAAATTCTAATAATACGGGTAGTGAAATAGATGTATAGTGAAGATAAAAAAATTATAAAAATTAACATCTTACACAAAAGGAAATGGAAAACTATTTTAGCTTCACAAATTCAAAATTTATAATACTCAAAATTGTCATATATTATTTTAATAGTCGTAAGTTAGTATCCAAAGTAAAGTTAATATTGTTAATATTTATTAACTTAAAAAAATATATATACTTAAATTAGGGTGGTAAGTGAAAGCCGATTTTGTTTATAAAAAAATTCTTTATATATACATAAAAAAATATGTTTCGGTATTTAATAAGTAAAGTAACTATAATTAAATTAAAGCTATATATTTATTATTTTCCTATACATAAAAATGGAAAGGAGTGCGGTAGTGAAAAATTTCGGAGTTTTCAACGGAAATAATAGTTTTGAGATTCCTAGAGTCCAAATAACCAAGTCTTGCCAAATGTATTGTGTGTTTGTTTAGAAGAATGTGCAAGGTGTAACTTAAAAATGAAAAGTACGAAACTGAAATCTTGTATTAAAGGTATATATTGTCAGTTTACTGCAAAAAGTCATTTTTTATTTATTTAGGTTAACTTTAAAATATATTTTGGTCAATTCCTACAGTTTTGATCGATACAATAAAACAATAAATGCACGGAAATTTCATAGACTCTGTTATATATAAAATACAGCTACAACAAGCCCACAATTTTTTTATTTGATAAAGGAAAACGTCTTCAAAGCTCTAAATTATTTAATGTTATGTGGCTTAATGACTTGCAATAAACCGAAAATATATTCCTGGGTTGCTAATTTTCACTAAGTCGGAAACTTCATATAACAAATTTTACACATGTTCCACACAGATGGAAAAAATATAGAACATTTTCACTATACTTGTTATTTCATTATTATTGTTAATGGGTATGAACAATATTGCTATTACTAAGGGGACCAAGTCCCAGAATAATGATGATTTTCTATTGTATCCTATCAATGTAAAACAAATTGTTATTAATATCAGGTGTTTCGTATCCTCATTATAATAGCCTGGCAGGGCTTAATTGCCGTTTTTTAAAAAAGGCTCTACCCTACAATATAATTTATTGACTAGATATAAAATAAATTTTACAGAATGTCTGATGACAGCAATGATTTGTCTAAATGTTAAAATTGTAATATATTTGTTTAGTTTGTTTGTTTTTTTATATATTCAGGAAGTCTTTTTTTGCCATAAATTAAATCAGTATCTACAATCATTACATAAATCACTATATTTTATCCCATTAGAAAAAACAAAAATACTACAAACTAAACTGTTACTATATTTCACATCTGTTCAAAAAATCTTTTAGTTGACTCTGACATTGAATAATATTTATTGCTGAGATCTCAGGGAAGTCATTAAACTCGCGGAAGAATATTAAAATAAAATCATAACTGCCGTCGGTTTTAGTCATATATCAACGAAAAACGATTAATTCAGTTTTGCCTGTCTCAAGAATTTTTTTCCTGGAATCGTTCCTTACGAGTTTAGACTGACATAAAACCTTTAAGTTTCATCAAATACAGTTCCTTGATTTGTGAGAAAGTATACTCCAAAGAATAATTAATATTATTTTAAACTATCTTGAGTAAAAATATATTTTTTTTTATTGTTAAACATCTACTTGATTAAAATAGTTCGTGTATCAAACGTTAATTGTAATATCTAAACAACGAATTTTTATTTAGGGTTCGTTAACACTAGTCGAGTTATGTACAATATAGCTATGGGTAATTCGATTCTTTTACAGTCCGATTCGATGTTTATGGATTGCACTTTTTCGATAATCGATATAAACCGTTAACAATTATCGTAGAGGATCATTGGACAGAGGAGACGAGCAGACAGAACCGGTAAGGTGGGTCTACCTTGAAGCCATGACCCGATTAAGTCCGAGGTGGCGAAACCTGATCCAATTCTCCGGCTCCCAGCTCTGTCCATACAGTTACCTCTTCGCTATTTGCCTTTCTGTCCATGTTTTTTAAATTTAAAAGGTCACACATGAGAGAGGGCGCATTAATACGACAAGAAAAAACAAAACAAAAAATAAATCGATTTATTTTAATTTTAATAAGATGATATCTCATAAGCATGATTTATTTATTTTAAAATTAATTTTTTTAAATTGACAGGAATTAAAATTGTAACATTCATAAAATTGAAAATAAAATAAATTAGGGAAATAAAATTAAAATTAAAAAAAAATCTATAATTTGTCGAAAAATATTCCTTTTATTTTACATATAGATTAATTAATTAATTTCTTTATTTTTGGAAACAAATTTAAAAAATTTTAATGAGGAAGCTAGTCAATATTTTAATAAATTAGTCGGTTTTAAACTACCTATCATTATATATAATAGATGATGATGAAGATATAAATTGGGACTAAATCATATACCGAGACGATGGAAGCCATTAATTATCGACCTTAGCTGCTATCGATTGTATTTTATCGATGTACTTACGAGCTTGAACATGTTGATGTCTGTGTGATGAGATGTGCCTGCAACAGCTGACTCTGCTCTGGAGGTAGTGATGCCGGCTTATATCCCCGTATACCCTTCACTGAACGAGAGGAGGGGAGCGTTGTGCAAGTTGTCTAGCTCTAGCAAGGAACTGTCGAGGGTACGTGCTAGAGAGATGCCAAGGAGGATACCTCTGATGAAGAAGTCGAGGAACAGGATGTCGGAACGATCGACAGGTGTAACGGATCGACAGAACTGCCTGAGATCCTCAGAGGTGAGGCTGGAGTGATGAAGATGAAACTTAATACAGGAGATCCACATTAAAATATTATCTTACCTCTTTTGTTCTTGAGACCTTATGTTTTTTAAGTTCAATTTTCGCAGCACGAATAGATTAGTAGATCAGTCTATTTGTAATTTTGTAGTACACACAAAAAAAATAAGACTTTGAAGAGAAGTTTGTTAGGATTTTTTTATATTTTTAGGATGTCAAAATATAAAGTAAAAATAAATTATATTTATTCGTATGCCTTTTTAGCAAAATTTTCGGCCAAAGTTTCAAGCATTCATCAGGGCTAGTGTTGCCCAAAGGCGAGACCAAGAATTGTCTTAGTCTTGCTTACTCATTGTTTGTCTTGGTCGTGGTCTTGCGCAAGAGTCTTGTCAAGAGCAAAATTGTCAAGTATTTATAAGGATTTTGCCTAAATTTATATTCAAAAAATCGATTTTCGTTTTACCAGTCTTGGTCTTGGTCTTGCAACAGTCAGGCAGTCTTGGTCTTGCAATGTGCAGCATTGCTACAAACTTCCTAAGTTTGTCCAATTATCAAATTATTAACATCTGCCCAGAAATTGATGTTATCAAAACTGCATAGGAGAAATAAGAAAAACTAAACTTTTTTTTCAGAGTAAACGAGACCAATACTTTTCATCAGTCAGAACGAAACTATTTAAGCTGGAATATAAAAATATATCACACATCAACTCGATACCACGACGAATTGGTTGAGCTTCAATAGTAATAAACACAATCAGAAATAACTTTTTTCTTTTTTCAAACTCAGAGTAAAAATTAATTTAAATTTATTGAAAATTACACGAAATCTAAGTAACGTTTGAAATCGACGAAATAATAGAATATAACTCATTGAATAAGACCTAAAATTTTATAATCACATAAAAATATTGTCATACCCTAACTCCCACTCCATATGATCAGTGCCTTTCACATTTCACTGTCATTATATTTTTGACAATTATTTATATTAATTTTAATTATTAAAAGGAATTCAATGAAATTGATATTATGAAATTTTTATACTATTCTCCAAATTTCCTAAAGGTTGGGTCAAATTGTACGCGCAGTTTTCAATCTGTTGGCTTGCCAAATAATGCATGCGTTTGATGATCCAAAAGCAAAAGTATTTTTTTTTTTAGGAGAAGTGGATAGAATTTCATAAAATTCATTCCTACTTCATTATCTGTTTACCCATCCCTAACTTTCCTCCAAATTTTAGACAAATCGAACATGCAGTTTTAGAGATATAGAGGTATCAAGGAAAATACGTTAGCTCATATATGTGAGAAGTTAGTAGACAGAATTCAATAAAATCGACATTACGTTATTTTTTCACCATTGCTTAACTTTTATCGAACTTTGAGCCAAATCTAACGAGCCCTTTCTGAAATATTGGCATATCTAAAAAAATACGTTTGCACGTGCGTAATCGGGAGTGCAGGATGTAATTTGATAAAATTGATATGCAATCATCTAGGCACCAATCCGCATAATCCCTGAAAATTTCATAAAAATCGGATGAATGGTACTAGGAGATATGCCCGTCACATCAATTTGACTACAGACAGACAGACTTCGGACCAAATTTGATCCTTGATGTCTGAAACGTAAAACGCGAGTGGAAATTTTCGATTCTGAGCACAAAATTTTTTTTAACCTCTTGCACGAACGTAATGGTTCCCTACCTTCGGTAGTGAGGAAGCAATGGTAAGTTATCTACTAAAAACTAAATACAGAGAAGTGAATAAAAATAACGTCACAAATTACAGTGTAAGTACTAATCTGCAGCCCAACCCCATTTTTATGAAATTATTACCATCTGTATAAAATGGATATTTTTATCTTATCTCAACCAATAACTTTTTTATTTACGAAAATTCTCGGAAATAAGACGGTTTCAATATGGAGGTAGGTAAACGTTTTCTTTTTGGTTTCCACTTGAATCTTTAGATAATTTGATCTCAAAAACTAGAAAAATATAGCCTACAAATCTTGGGTCGTTTGACATCGCCTCTACCCCCAACATGTCAACGAGTTACATAGCGCAGACGGTCCAATATTTTTGTAGACCAGCTTTTTCTCAATTATCTGCGCAAATTATCTTACGATTAAATGAAATGGGTTGTTAATAATTTGATAATGAGACTATATAAGCTATTATTATATTATTATACCTTATCATTAAATACAGTAATTAAATATTTTAATTTATATTACACAACTCATTTTGAAAATAACTGAGCCCATTTTTATATATTTTTAAAACCGTATCCTATTCTAAAAAAAATGTATTAATTAAGATTTTAAAGTTTTAATTGTTATTTTTTTCTAGTTTAATGAAGATATGTGTATGTTTTATGAACTTTTTCCATCACAAAATATTTACAATTTTGGGTAGTCCATCACTAGTGCAAAATGATGTTTTGGTAAAATAGCGATTACACTTGCATAGCTGAATATTTTTCAACTAAAAACTTTCACTATAAATTTTAAGTATATACATAAGAAATCCTAAAGATCCTAAAAATTCTTTGTAGTTCGAAACTACAAAGAGTAAGGCGGCGGAGGACAAAAATGGCAAGCATTTTCTCAGCTATGCCCATTATTAGTATTAAAATTTAAATAATTCAAAGTGTGCTAATTAATTATTTCATAAGATTTGTTTTGGATATTTCTGGGGTAGACGGTTCTGGCATCTCACAAAGTTATTCCGAGCAAGGGTGGTTAAATCATAATTGTATTTCCTTGGTGTCTTCCTATTCCAATCTCTGAGAAAGAAAGAAACATTCTTCAACTCCTCAACAGCTTCCATTGATAGATCCTGTGTAATTCGAACTACTTTGTTTAACTCTTTACCTTCATTTGGAGAGCTCCCTCACTAACCTCATTCAAACATCACTTATTTCTCCATCTCCTCAACTATCAACTTTCGGCACACATGTACGGAAAATCTTTCCAGCTAACTTTGTACATAGAAGCTTCTCTGTCTATATTTACTTTAACTATTTCTTTTTTTTTTTCTTGTGTCGTATTCCTCTTACTACATTATCATCACAGTTAATTTATTTTCTTATGTATCAGGCATTAATTTGTCTTTAGTTTATAAGTTAATTTAATTTTTATCAATGTAGCCAGATAAACGGTTACTTTGATGAATACTTTGTTTTTCTAAAAGGACTTAATATCCCAGAATAAAATTTAACCCTCTTTCTTTCTTGCGTTAAAACTCATGAAGATTTTCATGAAAATCGAACTTTATCACGAAAAAAATTTAAAACAGCAGGCCAATCTTCAACAGGGTAAAATCGATAAACAGATAAATATTTATTGTATATGAATAAATTCATTATGCAACGGTATCACCAATTATCTCCCTAAAGGGATGCAAAAAATGTTAATTATTGTTACGAGGTGAAGAAGTGACACTCATAAGATCCAACTAATCACAAGATTCATTGCTATTCATCGTTATTGGTTATTGCGACTCATTTTTATTCAAATATGAATGAAGACATTATGAGACGTTATCGCCAATAATCCCCTTAATGGATACAAAAAAATGGATTTACTGTTTCGAGGTCAAGAAGTGCAACTAAGAATAAAACAATTACCTTTTTAGTACAAGTTATAAATGTAAATTTTTTTTATTTCAAGTTTATAGTTTCTCAAGTATAAGCAATTTGTATTCATCTTGTCTGGGCAAGCGTGCCCGATCAAGCTTGACTAATTTAATGCTAAGCCCGGTGAATTCTCAGGTCATTGCTATCCAACTCCTAACTTCCTTCACATACTAAGTCATCAACGATCATCAAATTCAGCTCCTCGGTTAAAAACCTGAGAATCGCCATTCACGAAAATCCCTCCTGGAAACAACATATTACCGTCATCTCCCGAAGGCTAATAGATACCGTTAAGTCATTGTATCGCTCCTGCCACCTACTCCCACAACCTATCCGCAAGCTCCTTGTATCCACACTTTGACTACGGCTGTGTGGTATCCGGATTTTAGTAGTGGAAAGATTGATACGACTCATGAACTACTTCTTAAGATTTATCTTCAGCACTTCTCATGTGTCCCACCTTTAAGACTTGTTAAAGTGGTTCTTCTCTTCTTTCCGCCGACAGAATTTCCATGCATATTATACCCAACGATCAAATCCCGGCACCCTTCCTACACCCACAGTCTCCTTCCTACAGTTCAAACTCTTAGTTCACTCACAAAAAACAAGATCCTATTTGTTATAAAACATTTGAATATTCCTTTCTTGTCCACTCTACTGCCTTCTGGAATTCCTTGCCATCTCCAATCCGCCATGTTTCTTCTTTGCCCTCATACAAATGCCTTCTTTACCTATTCCTTCTCATATCCCAAACGGCCGCTCTACAATGATGAAATAAATTTGATGAATAGAATTTCGATTGAAGTGAATGGTTGTTTAAATTGTTTTTATTCAAAATGTTGTTTATATATTGTCACTGAAGATATTTTATATATTGTTTAATTTGTATTAATGTAGTTTTTGACCAGATATTGTTTTTATTCTTATTTCATAATTATAAATAAGATATTGATAGATTCCCTGCTCTAACAGTATGAATTAAGAGTCGATAATATTCATTTAGAAGCAAGAGTGTTCATCTAAGATGCATTAGTTTGATCAGATAGTAAAAATGATCATTTCATGAAGGGGTTACGAAGAAGTACTTGGACGACAGACTTGAAGCCACGTCCCAAAAATGGACCTCATCGCAGTTAGAATTTTGAATGTAAAGTTCGAAAGACTATGTTATTTTTAATAAAATCAACCTTGTTTGCCATTGCAGAGCCAGTGCTTTCAAAAATGGTGGCTGATTTAAATAATATTAGGCTAGAAACTTGTGGGTCAAAAAGGGAAATATATTGCGTAAATGCGGGAAAAGTTTTTATTTTTTTAACTTTTATATCGACAGCCGCACTGCAAAACTCTGTAAGATCAAAAACAGTTTGAACAA